ATTAATTGACGAAAATGAAGTAATCGAAAACACATTCGAGAAATTTGATGAAATTATAAACAGCGCTGAATACAACGAACTTCCAAATGTACAGATAAATGTCAGTACAATCGAAATGATTTTGGCTGTATTAAAATATTGCACAAAATATCACATTTCAACAGTAGCAATCATACATATGTACAAACTGCTCAATATGTTTTTTAATGAAACATGTTTCCAGAAAATCGCTATTAATTTGATAAACTATTTCATCCAGAAGAAGATCAGAATTATCTCTATATGTCCGGTTTGTAAATCTTACATCGGAATCTTGGCTAAAAGACAAAAAATCATACTTTGCGAAGCATATGATAATAAGGTAATCTTAAAAGATTCTTCTTATAGCGACTATTTTACCATGTTCAATATAGTAGGCAAAATACAAAGATTGATCGAAACAAATGATAATTTCTATTGTGATATTGTTTCTCGGAAAAATAAATAACCTGATGTTGTTTTCGAAGACATTTACGATGGTCACAAATATAAAAAATTTGTTGAATCATTACTGGTTGATCAGAAAGAGTCTTACGTAACAGTGACGTTCAATAGTAATGGAAATCCAACTTTCAAAAGTTCCAAATATTCTATTTGGCCTATATAAATGGTTATGAATGAAATTTCACTAAATATTCGCTTGAAAAAAAAAATACTTGTGCGTTACGGTTTGGTCGTGATAAACCAAACATGACGAATTTCATGCGTCCTTTTGTAGAATATATGAATGAACTATTAAAAACAGGAATAAGATGTCAGATGCAAAATGAAGAAAGAAATTTGCATGTGTATGCACTCTGCTGTTGTGTAGATTTTGTGGTACGCGCGCCTATGCAAGGCACCGTTCAGTTTAATGGATATTACGATTGTAATTGGTGCTTACATCCAGGTGTACGAGTTCGTCATGATACTGGTCATTCTGTGAAATATCCTACTCCAGATGAACATATTGGAAGATGAACAACAGATGGTACTTTTTAGTTAATGCAAAGAGCTGTAAAATCGAAAGATCCCATTTTTGGTATTAAAAGTATAACTCTATTGTTGCTTTTGAATAAATTTGATATAATAGATGGATTCGTGCCTTCCCCAATGCATTGCGTTGATCTCGGTATAGACAAATAATTTTGCAACTATTGGTTCACTTCATCCAATGAGTCATATTCAATTCCGAAGAGCAAACTCAAAATCATTGATTAATACATAAAAAAAGTAAAAGTACCGACACAATTGAAACGATTGTCACGGTCGTTAAATGATAGAGCATATTGGAAGGCAAAAGAGTGGTCCAATTGGATACTATATTACAGCCATCTATATATTACAAAAATTTTAAGAGTTCGTGATCCATTGGTCTTTGTTAATAGAAGCATATCGTACTTTATTGAAAACTAAAATAACTTAAACCGAATTGCGAAGAGCAGATTTTCTTTTGAAAAAGTTTGTTTGTTATATAGAACGTCTATATATATACAGATGATGCTATAACGTACAATGTTCACAAATTATTTCACTTAACACAGAGCGTTGCTGATTGGGATTCATTATATGCTCATAGCGGTTATGTATTCGAATCAGGCAATGGAAAAATGAAAGAAATTATCTATGCTGCCAAAGGTATTTTGAGCCAAGTATGTCGTTACTTGTCGTTAGAAGTAAGTATAATAAAATTACAAAAATATGTTGAAATGGCCGTCGATAGAATATATTAGATAATTAGAACATACAAGGGTGGTCCGATAAGTACTTAGCCTCACCGCCCGATGGCGCCACTCTCGCAAAAGAAATATTCTATCACGTAGTACAACCTTCTTGATGGTTACTGTCAAGATTTCAGCCGGATCGGAGTTGTAGATTATTTTTGAGAGCGTGTGAAAGCAAGTGTGTCCGTTGATTTTTGAAAAATGGAAAAAGAGCAGTATCGGTCGGTGATTCGATTATTGTTTTTGGAAGGAAAATCGCGCAGTGAAATCAAAAAGCGCTTGGATGCTGTGTACGGTGACTCTTCTCCTTCGATGGCGACCGTCAAAAATTGGTTTAACGAGTTTCAACGTGGTCGCACGTCGATTTTTGAAGAGCCACGTCCAGGTGCTCCGAAAACGGCTACCACGGAGGATAACGTGACAAAAATTCACGATCTCGTATTGGCAGATCGAGGATTGAAGATGCGCGAGATAGCTAAGATCATAGGCATCTCAGAAGACCGCGTGGGTCATGTCCTGCATGAAATTTTGGGCATGAGAAAGCTGTCGACGCGATGGGTGCCGCGTTTGCTCACTCCGGACAACAAGCGCAACATTGAGACAACTTCAGAGCAATGTCTGACGCTGTTGAAGCGCAATCCGAAGGAGTTTCTGCATCGTTTCGTGACAGTCGACGAAACATGGATCCACTGGTATACACCAGAGACCAAGGAACAGTCGAAACAGTGGACATTACCCGACGAAAGTGCTACGAAGAAGACGAAGACTACCCCATCGGCCGGAAAGGTGATGACCACCGTTTTCTGGGATTCACAAGGCGTGATCTAGATCGACTACCTGGAGAAGGGTAAAACGGTCACAGGGCCGTACTATGCCGAATTATTGGGCCGATTCGACGTCGAATTGCAGAAAAAACGGCTCCATTTGGCGAAGAAAAAAGTGCTCTTCACCATGACAACGCACCGGCTCACACCTTCGCCGTCGCCATGGCCAAATTAGTCGAATTAGGCTACGAACTGCTGCCCAATCTACCGTACTCTCCAGATTTAGCCCTGTGCGATTTCTTTTTGTTTCCAAACTTGAAAAAGTCACTCGCCGGGCAGAAATTTGAGTCGAATGAGGAGGTAATCGCTGCCACGGAAGCCTACTTTTCAGACCTCGAGGAAACGTATTTTTCAGACGGATTAAAGAAATTGGAGCATCGCTGGGCTTAGTGTATCGAACTAAAAGGAGACTATGTTGAAAAATAAAAGGCCACTTTCCCAAAATTTTCGTTTTTCTTTTGTAGGCTAAGTACTTATCAGACTACCCTCGTAATTTCATTGAGAAAACTGTCGAGTTTTCTTACAAATATTTTGGAAGAACTGTTCCTAAAAATATATTTCAAAGTATCAACTTTGTACAAAAAAAGTTAGAGCATACAAAAAAATAGTTAGAGATGAATGTGCGTATAAGTCATGTGAAAAAATATATCGATCAGATAATTCATTTATGATGTTAAAAAATGACGATTATATACAAATTCAACAATTTCTTGTCAACATGGACGATGGAAAAGAGTATACTAGATACAAAAAGATTGTGGTAATCGATGATATTTAGTAAGTGATGTTTTTAGTAAGTAATGTACAATTACATTGTATTAAACAAATTATGGAAATCAACTCTATTATTGATATAGCAGAAACGAAAAATATCGACAAAATTTATGTTTATTTGAATATTGATCATTATAATTATATTTCATATGTACCTAATATGTATTAGAGATAACAATACTGAATTCATTGAGTATCGTAATTTTGAATTTTATAATAAATTTAGTGGTCCGACAATGGTCTGGTATATATTTCTCTATACTTCAAATAATCCAGCTAGGAATCGACCTAATATCTAAAAATCCACCCTGGAAATCCGCCTAGAATTCACCTAGAAATCCAGCCTGAAAATACATCTGAAATCCATCTAGAAATCCAAACTAAAAATCCACCTGGATTCAACATAGGAATCCACGTAGAAATCCACCCGGAATTCCATCTAGAATCTACCTAGAAATCCAGTCTGGAAAGACGCTTGGAATCCACCTAGAAATTCAGACTGAAAATCTACCTGGAATCTACCTAGAAATCCATGTAGAAATCCACCTGGAAATTCACCTAGATTCAACCTAGAAATTCACCTTAAAATCTACCTGGAATCCACCCAAAATTCCACCTGGAATCCAGGTGGAATCCAGGTTGATCCAACTGGAAATCCAACTAGATATCCTGCTGGAAAATCAAGGCTGAATTTCCTGCAGGATTTTTTCAATAGGTTTTACCCACATAGTAATAGTAAAAATAGTATAGTTATACCCATATAGTTCTGAAACTAAAAGATGACTCATAATATTAAAAACGTATTTTAATTCTTCTGACTTTTATCTAATTTTTTTGAGTTTTTTAAACAACTAGCACTTACTAAAAAAAGTGCTAGTAGAAGAAATTCCTTTCATATCTTTTTTTAGGTTAACGATGCCATTCTTTCATGAAGAACTTGTGTTATAAATTGATTTTTTATTGATGATAATTTAAAAAACTAAACCATAAATCAATTAATCAATAGAAAAATTAATTTTGCTTCAAGAGTTATAAAAATGACACTATTCCAAGTTTGTTATTCAACTATTGCAAGGAAGGACAAACTTAAACATGAATCGAAAATTAAATTTTTTTAACAAATATATTTAAAGTATAACTCTTTAACATGCATCCTGTTGAAATTTCTGATCACAATTTGAAACGATGCTATTATTGCAACTATTTTTGCCAATGTTCTACCTATTAGTTATAGCACATAAATAACCTTCAATCTAGTTTTTCTTAAAAAAATGTTTATGACTTTTTAATTTTATATTTTCATACATAAAACATTATTTCAACAAATTTGTAATATATTAAAATATAATAATAACATTTTTTAAATAATTACAAAAATTCCACCATTTTATGTGAAAATACTCAAAAGTTTGATATTATGTATATTGACAAGATATTGATATTGAAATAACAAATCAATTCGTTTTTATCTTCCAGAAAACAACAAAATTAACAGAAAAATTAATTTAAGGTTCCCATAGTGTGACATTCAAGACAATTATTATAATAGATCTATACCTATTTATGATTATAAATAGATAAATAACATTTAATCAATCTTCAAATAATTTATAAAATTAGACTACTATAATCTATATATAATTTTATAAAACAATTTTACCTGTCATAACAATCTCCATGACTACCAATAGGAACATCAAAGTCTACAAGATCATAAGCATCATATGGTTCAGATTTTCTTATATCCCATTTTATACCTGAACCTCTCACCATGACTCCACTAAACCCAAAATTTAAAGCATCTTCTGCATTAATAATACCAATATCCTTTGTTCGCTGAATCCAGATTCTATTTTCTGATAAAACATCTTCAATTTCATCAATTCTTTCCGAATACTTTGCACTCCACTCATAAATATCATCCATAAGACCTAGAGGAAGATCAAGAGCCACTCCACCTGGTCTTACATATGCTGAATGCATTCGTGCACCACTAACTCTTTCATAAAATTCCATAAGTTTTTCTCGTTCTTCAAATAACCAGAAAAATGGTGTAAGAGCTCCAACATCTAAAGCATGAGTTCCAATCCCCATAATATGATTTAGTATACGCGTTAATTCAGCATACAAAGCTGTTGACAATTACTTAAATAAATATCCAAAACTATTCTGTTTTATTATAATGTAATAATCATGTACCTACTGCGTATATACTTAGCACGTATTGGAACTTCAATATTTAGAAGTTTTTCAATAGCTAAAGAAAAGCATTGCTCATTACACATCATTGATACATAATCCAGTCGATCAAAATATGGCAAAGCTTGTGTATAAGTTTTATACTCCACAAGTTTTTCTGTTCCTCGATGAAGTAATCCAATATGAGGATCAGCATTTAATACAATTTCCCCATCTAATTCTAAAACAAGTCTTAATACACCATGAGCAGCAGGATGTTGAGGGCCAAAATTAACTTTCATATTTTTGATAATTTTTGGTGGTGGTAACTGATCTTTGAAATATGGTGGAAACTTCCATTTTGGAGTAGTTTCATCTGGGATCCATGTAGGTCCTCTAAATTCGTCAATATACTCCTTATCCGGATACCAATGGGAAGCTTTTCTGGTGCTTCAGACAGAAATATTAAAATAAACATTTTGAAAATAATAATCAGGAGATATACGTAATGGCAAAAGAATACGACTGTAATCTAATAAATATTTCAGGTTCAGTTACTGAAGGGATTATATAAGGGAATATATACAAAAAAATTTCAATTTCAATTACCATAAAATAATATGGGGTTTCGTAGATTGATATAGAACAGGTTTACACAACTTAAATTTAGACGTTTTACATAAAATATTTTTCAATATTCCAGTTGTCATTTTGTAAGAAAATGATATAAAATTATTCTTTACGTATGTGTCTGTATATGTGTATCAGTGCTGACCATTATCCATGCCAAGTCGGACGTTGTAATTGCCGACTTTTGCCGTCGTTGTCGCCCGAGTGGTGTCAGCTGTGTTAACACCAACTTCGTGCGGGACGCCATATAGAATTACTATTTTTCAAATTTAAAATTTTTTTAATAACGATATTTAACACCTTCTGCAAACAAGTCTAAATTTTCATCTTTAAGTAACTTAGACAATTAATTTCCAATAATACTGAAATTAACAGAACCAATAGAACTTCTTATAATGTTTGACGCAAATTTAGTCCGGTCACTGTCAAACCAAGTGTTTATTAGCTAGAGATCTTTAAAGTTTAAATTTCGATGATTAACCTTCTAATTAAAGATCAATTTGGATAAAATAAGGTATAAAAATATGCATAAAATTATAACATTTATCAACAACAAAATTATTAGAATTTTTTATAAGATTTTTGCTGATAAATAGTCGATAAGCGAGAAATGCTTAGTTACAAAATGTAATCGTCGTTTGAAAAACAACTATTACATTCAATCACACAGCATTCGATAATAAATGAAAAAAATCTTTAATTTAAGGTTTAAAACTTGCTACGGTTATCAAGTACCTAGATAATGTTAAATTTTTTTACCATTACTTATGTTCTAATGTATTTTGGCAAAAAAATTGTTTTTTGTTTGTAATTTTTTAATTTTTATTATTAGAAGTTGATTTTTTTATCTCGTAAATCATTGAAATAATTTTAAGAAGTTTATAAAACCCATGCTTGGTGCTGTCCATTTTTTTCCTTATTAAATTGCGTTACTCCTTGTCATTTTTGTAATTTTAAAGATATATGATGTTGGTCTTTTAAGTCGTTTTGTGGCTTTCCATAGTGAGTAGTCTGTTGTTCTGTTGGACTCAGTGTTCTAAGATAATTTTGTGTTTAGGTACTTTTTCTTCTTGTAACATTTTCTTTAGGACTTTGATTGCTTTGTCGAGTTTTGATTTATCTTTACTTGATCTGGTTAATTGGTATCTTTTTCTTAGTGATCTTTTTTCTTTGATTTTTTTGGCTATTTTAGAGGAGTTGATTTGTTGCGTATAATTTCTGGTTGTTATTGTAGAGCAGTCATTAATGGTGTTAGATAAAAGTACGTTGAGTGAATTTATGCAGCTTTCTATATTGATAGTTGTTTTAAGTGGGACATTACACGTAATGCGTTCATCTATGGAAAAAGCATATCTTTTCCAGTCCACTTTTATGTGTTTGTTTACATTGTTGTGTACTTGACAGTGAAGAGTAATTATTACCGGCGAATGGTCCGATGTAAGGTCTAGACATGATGCCGCTTCGAAATAATTTTTGCTTATCCCTTTTATTATTGCAAAGCCAATCAAGTCCGGGAGCTTTTTCAAGTCTGTAGGCCAGTATGTTGATTCTCCGGTGGATATCGGGGTGAATTTATTTTTTTGTAGTATTTCATAGAGTACTCTGCCTCTGGGTGTTGGAGTTTCTGATCTAGATCCCCACCACGGGTGCTTCGAATTATAATCCCCTCCTGCTACAAAACGGTTTCCTAGTGTTTTTAAGAATTTTGTCCATTTTTCCTTTGTGATTATTTTGTCTGGAGGACAGTAAACAGCTGATATTGTAATCGGTCCTTCTTTATCCTTGATGATTATACTAGTTGCTTGAATGTAGATTTCACTAGTATGTTTGTGAACGTGGTGATTTATATTTGTTTTGATTACAATCGTACTACCTCTGTGTGCTTTATCAAGTAGATGATTTGTTTTGTGTACTGAGTAGTTTGGTATGTGGAGAAAATGTTTGCTGGTAAAATGTGTCTCTGAAACTAACATAATATCAATATTTCCGTGAATTAAAATTGCTCTTAATTCAAGGTATCTTCGCGTAAGGCCATTTGCATTCCAAACAGCAATTTTTAGATTTGACATGATTATACTAATTTATTAATAAGTGTGGTTACTAATTTTAACAATATATTCATTGTTTGCGTCATTTTTTCCATCAATTGTTGGAGTTTATTATTTGACTTTTCATCGTTGCTGCAACTGTTTTGTTCTGTGTGTATTGCTGTTTGTTTTGGTGTTTCTGTTTCATTCTGTTCGTTATGTTTAGCTATTACCTGTGCGTATGTTGTGTGCGGTCTAACTCTATTGTCATTTGGATTTGAATTTGCGTTTATGATTATATGTGTTGTAACGGTCCTATTTATGAGCTATTTATTAAATCACTGAATTACTGCAACTAGTCTAACGTATCTATCTGTTTATTCAAATCAATACATCAAGCGGTGCTACCACACTGTTTACGCGATTGTATACAAATAAGAGTCGAATCAAAATAAACAGCGTGACGTCACAAAATAATATATATAGATATAATGATATTACATATTAAGAAAAATATGTTAATTAGAGATAATTTTAATATAACAAAGTATTGATTATATATATTATATATATTTTATATATATATTTTATATATATTTTAGCACGTAGATTCATAATATAATAACAAAAATTACATTCAACTATGAAATAATAATGAATATCAATATGCAAAGTTGATTTATTTATTACGTTAACAATATGAAATATTAGAAAAATGTAAATAATTCATATGCAAAATGAATAAGTATAAAATATGAGTAAGAATTGGTTTCATTAATAACATCTGAATAATAACTGTTATTAGTAAATAAACAATTAATAATTTATTTAAACAATAAGCTGTATATAAAACGAAAGTATTAATTTTATACTTGAAAATGATAGCTTTATAATTTAAGAATTTTAGATAAATAATCTAATAATTATATTATAAGATTAGGAAAAACCGTTACTAATATGAAAAATTAGTTATAGTTCAAATGTTATTAACTAATTTAAATATTCATTTTTGGAAAATACCTCTAAATTAAATCAACTATAAAGTTATATAAAAATTTATTAATTTTCTATTATAAATATTATAATATCACGTTAATTAACTTTATTAGTTAATAACTTTTGACGACACTATTTGCGATAATTGTATATTGTATAAAATCAACAAATAACAAATTCTGTAAAGTTTACATGTGTTAAAAGCTTAATATTAAGGATTATTTACTTGTAAATTAAGAAAACTCATTTCTGTAAATTCGCGAATATCTCTCGAATATTCGATGACATTTCTCCTGCAAAAATAAGCGGGAAACTCTGTATATAAATAGGCCCACCTTTGCACAGGCTAGCATTCACTTCTAGCCTTGCAAGGTAAGTGCATGAGTCTGAATAAACTTGGTTAATGCCTAAGTTCTTTCTCTCATTGTGATTAACTAAGCAAGACTATTCCTTCTTTATAATTCGAGCTCGACTTATAGAACATTTCGCGCTATAAGAAACTTGGGCCGAATTATATCCTATCCAATAAAGACTTTAGCTCTGCTTATGGGACAATTCGCACCATAAGAAACTAGGGCATCGTCTGACTTTCCCTGAAATATTGTACGTATTTATATATATTTGATTTGTTTAGTATTATTAGAGTACATTTGATTTATCTATTTATTTTATTGACAAGTAGAGTAAAATTATTAGAAACAAATTCTTACTCATTAGCTATATACGAGAGTTCGAATTATTATTTGTAAGTGATACGAACATCACAGTGTTTGTATACTATTTTGAAATGTTTTTTCACGCAACTTGGGAAATAATTTTTGCTGTAATTGCTTACGTACCGGCCAATCTTTATATTTTACTGTATGATTTCCTTTGCAGTTTGCACATATTACATCTTTGATTTTTTGTTTGATTGAACACTCCTTGGTTTGATGATATTCAGCACATTTAACACACACTGCACTTTTAAAACAGTAATTTTTCGTATGTCCGTACTCTTGGCAATTTTGACAATGAGGAATTTCTCCCTTTATGTCTGGTGGTTTGAATTTGATTACTGTGTGAAGAAGTTTGGTTACTTTATAAATGTCCTGACTTTTATAATCATGTTCAATTTCAACTATAAAAAGCGGTAGTGGTGCTTTTGTGATGCGATGCCTTATGTTATGAATACTTAGTACTTTGTGTCCGTGATTTTCTATGGCAGCTTTTAATTCTTCAGTATCAACTGACGGATGCATGGTTCTTAGTATTGTTATATGTCGGACCGTCGAACGTCAAGAAAAGAAGATCAGAAGGTTGCCAAGCAGTTGTTGTTGTTGTCGTAAAGTTAGTTAGTTGTCGGGTAGCCTTAAATCGTGTCGCTAGGGTTATGTAGTAAATACAATAAGTTACATCCTTTTTTTATAATTATTTCGTGTTATTTCTTATACGGGAGTTGGTGATCGTTACATTTTGGGGGCTCGTCCGGGATATTTGGTTTGAAATGGACTTTGAAATGGATCACGTACACCAACACGTGTACCGTTTCAAACGAAGACGAGAGCACGCGCTGCTGCTGAAATCGAGGCCGAAACTGCTGCCGCTATTGTTGATGTTGAAACTTCGGCTACTTTTGTTGTTGATGTTTCGAAAAAAGGATCGGAAAAAAAAATAGATGAGATTTGGACGTTCTTCGGCTATGATGCGTTACGCTGGCGGACCGGAGCTGACAGTATTGCTTTAGTAGCCGCATTTTTTTTAGGCGTGGACGAAAACCAGCTAAGTCAATTTTTATATTTTAGATAGATTGTTAGGGTTACTTGTTAGATTATTTGTGATTTTTGTAATTTAATGAGAAAGATCAGGTTAAGTTTGTAAAGCGTAGTCGATGGTAGTCAAATTTTCCTAGGTTAAGTTATCGCGAGTCACGTATCTTAACTAGATAGGATTTTGGCGAGGCTAGTGACTGGAAATAACACCTCCAAACTTGTTCTCTCACTATTTTTCGATTTTACAGATCTGAAAGTCGTTTGGTGTTCGAGGTCGTTGGGAGCACTCTGTACATGTTGATGCGCTTGTCTATTAGTTGATGTGAGGCTTTTTCCAAGAAGTAGACAATTAGGCTTTGCTCGATTGATTGGAGATAGAAGATTCCATTTTATCGATTGGCTGACAA